CCCCCCCCCCCCCCCCCGGGCATCCCAGCCCTGCACTCCTCTTAGAGGCCTGACAGGATGTGATGTGACCAGCCTGAGGGCACAAGGGGCACTTTCCCAAGGGCATGGGGGACGTGTCGTGTCCCTGCTGCCCCAGGACTGCTGCTTCTGAGTCCCTTTCCCCTCAGCCCTGTTGAATTTGGTCCTGACTGTGGGGGACAGAAGGTTTGAGGGCCATGGAGCCCTTTGTGTGAAACACATGCTCTGGGCTGGAGACTATGCAGGACAGGGCCCACCTTAGCCTGCAGGCCTCCAAGCTCTTCTCTCCCATGTGAGGCCCCTTCCCCTCAGCCTGGTTGAATTTAGTCCTGACGGGGGGTGGGGGGTTTGGGGATAATCCCAGGTGGTGAGCCGTGTGCGCAGGGACAGCAGCTAGGAGAGGTGGCCCTCTGGGTATGGCTGCGTGGCACTGGGGAGCAGCCAGTTCTCGTCCTCTACAGCCAGTGGCTTCCCTGAGGAATATAGTGGCACCCACCCAGCATTCACTGCACCTGGGCACCAGCACCCCTTCCTCCCGGGGAAGGTGGTTTCTCCCATCATAAAGAAGCCAGAGTGGAGGCTTACAGAAAGGGAGGATTCCTGCATCACTGGTCAGAGAGAGGTGGTAGATCCCGAGGGAGGCCACAGCTGTCTGGCCAGGCCCCTGCTTGTCCCTGTGGGGGTGGTTGCCAGTGTGTTGCTGTCACCCTCTGGTCACAGCCCTGCTCCCAGGGTCATGCTGCTTCCAACGTGGCAGCTTCCGTGGCACTGAGTGGGCAGTGGGGTAGCCTAGCCAGCTGCATGCACAGCACAGACAGGGCCATCCCAGTGGGGCCAACATGACTTATCTTCTGGCCACAGGGAACCAACGAGATTCTCCGGATGTACATTGCCTTGACAGGCCTGCAGCACGCCGGCCGCATCCTGACTGCAAGGATCAAGTAGGTGCCAGCCCTGCCAGCTGCTCCTCATATTCCCTCTGCCCATCAGAGGTCCATCCTGGGGCAGCAAGGGCAGGGTGCTACCCTGTCCTGGGATGGGCATCATGGAGCCGTGCAGTGCTCAGCTCAGTCAGAGGCTGGCTGGAGGGAGGGAAAGAAGAGCCTTAAAAGCCGGGCTCCAGAGCTTGGCCTTCACCTGCAGGTGATCGGAGGGGCTGGCTGCCTCAGGAAGCCCTCACTGCTCTCCTCCCCTGGCAGCTCCCATCACCCACACTGCAGGGAGCTTTGTTTTCAGAACCTAGGGAATGAGAGCTGTCCCTCCAACAGGCGCTGGGCTCCAGGGCTACCAACCACAAGACCACTTTTCTTCTTGCACTCTCCTGCTCCGCTTGACCCCCATCATGGGGCTGGAGCAATTAGAAATCGCTGCTGGCACCTGGCATGGGTTGCTCAGGGCGTTTTGCAGACTCCTTAACCCTGGAGCACCCCCGGGGTGGGGGTGGAGGGGGCTGGCTATGACTTGCTTGTGGAGAGCGCTCTGTGTGGCTCTACCTCAGAGACCAGCTGTTCTCTGACGGGGGTGGTGGGGTGGTCTCAGGCATCCAGCAGGCCCAGGGCCAGGTGAGACAGCACCTAGGTCCTGAGTTGGTCCCTTTAATGCCTTGGACAGTCAGAGGGAACAGGTACTAAGAGGAACGCTGTTGCTGGGCATTGGGAACCAGCAGTGCGGCCTGAGTTCATGGGTCCATGGGCTTTCTGCAGAGAGCTTAAACGGGGCAACGTGACCACTGTCATTGAGACCGTTGGCCGAAGGCTGCGAGACTCCCTGGGCCGAACTGTGGATCTGGGGTTGACAGGGAAGCTGGGAGCGGTGCACCCCAGTGTCGCAGTGAGTGGGGACAGATGGCATTACCTCCCTGCCCCTGTGTAGGTATCACCTTCTAGAGGGCTGTGACCAGGGCATTGGGGAGGATGGTCCAGCCTAAAAACAGAGCCTGGGCCCCAGAGCCCCAGCCGGGTGGGATGGGCACCACAGGGAAGTAGCACTAAGTGGTCTTTCCCCTGGCATACTAGGACAGTGCCAACAAGCTCGAGGAGAACGTGTATTACTTCGGCCGCACTGTAGAGACATTGCTACTCCGCTTTGGCAAGGTACCCCGGCCCCTGCCACATCTGGGGATGGCTGGCCCTCCAACTTTGGGGTCAGGAAGATTGGGTGTTTTGCCAGGTGTCCACCTTTGGGACCAGGCTTAGAAAGAGATCTTGGTCACCGTGGAGGGGTAGGGTGGAACTGCCTGTCCCAGGGGCCACTTGGGTGGTGCCTTCTCAGTAAAGGGAGGTTCCTTGGAGTAGGCAGGGCATCCCCAACTGGGCCCAGATCTAGGGCCCCGTTCTGTGAGGCTGTTGCTGCTGAGGGTGACATGAAGCACAGTAAGCAACAGCCTGTGGCCTCAGCCAGGTTTCTGGGACCTGGTCTTGGCTTGACCCATGCCCAAATCTAGACAGAAGGGAAAATAGGCAGCCAGCGAGCCAGGCTTTCACCACCCAAACGGAGAGGCAGTGTTAGTTTCCTTTACTTTCTACTTTCTAAGACTCATGAAATGAGTCTTAGAGATGGCTGAAACTGTGCCCGGGGAGGGAAGTCCTGGGTTGTGAGTCTCCCCGTGGGCTCTGTGTTCACAGACCATCGTGGAGGAGCAGATGGTCCTGAAGCGGGTAGCCAACATCCTCATCAACCTGTACGGCATGACGGCCGTGCTGTCGAGGGCCAGCCGCTCCATCCGAATGGGGATCCGCAACCACGACCACGAGGTGAGCCTTTCGTGCCAGCTTTGTCCTCTGAACTTTAATGAGGCCTGTGGTTGAGGGAGGGGGTCAGTGGGCGGCATGGCCCAGTCGGGACAAGGAACTGGGCAAGTCAAGGGCCTCACCCAGGCATGGGCCTAGGCCGCCAGTGGGTTTGCTGAGTTGTGGCCATGGCCAGCACTGGTGGTCTGTTCCAATGAGAAGGTCTGTGCTACTCAGGACACAGGGCCACTCGCTTTTGTCTTTCTGCCTGTGGAAAGAGGGATAGGTGAGTAATGGGATCCCAAAGTTTGTGTGCTCACCCCATCTGCCTGCCTTACCCTCAGCGGCTGGAATGTAGTTCCTGAGTGCCTCCTGTGTGCTGGGTCTTGACATGCATTGTCCCACAACAGCCTGTGGGCACTAGGATTACGTTGGCCTTCCTGCCACAGAGGAACCTGAGGCTCACAAATGTTGAATAATTTGCTTTTGGGGACAGAGCTGGTTCAGTCAGGGATGGAATTAGAACCTAAGACTCTGATTCCTGCGCCAGGCCTTTTGACCTCGGCCAAGCTGCTGAGTTTGGCTGAGTTTCTCACACACCAGAGAGGGGGTGCCCTAGGTCATCACTTCAACCTTGGTTCTGATAGGTTCTGCTGGCCAACATCTTCTGTGCAGAAGCTTATTACCAGAATCTCTTCACCCTGTCCCAGCTGGACAAGTGTAAGTAGTGAGGCCTTGCGGGGGGCAAAGGGGGAGCGCTGAGTGCAGGTGCCTGTTGACAGCCAGGCTCCCAGGGCCTGCTGGCTGCTCACAGACCTCTCCCTTGAGTGAGGGCTAGTAAGGTCAGGTTCACCTGCAGGATGGCTTGCCAGACAGTAACATGTACCTGCAGATGAAGACTGTCAGAGCCCACAGGCGTGGCCCAGCCTGCCTCACCCGAGTCTGGCAGCTGCCCTCCTAGCAGATAGCCCAGGCTTTGGCTCTAGTCCGTGCAGGGGCTTGGCTCCTGGGGCTGTTCGTACCGTAGTCACTTCGCCATGTCTGAAAACATCCGGCTCAGATTCTTCTGACCTTTATAGTCGTTTTGGCCTCAGGGCTCTGTGTCATGTGTCCCCTGCTGTAGAGCGCAGCCGTGTTGCCAAGTGATGGGAGGAGAGGAGCACATAATTCTGTGCAGCTCCTGGCTCCGGGTGCTGGCATGTGTTGGTCCATGCTGTGGCAGGGAGACGGGGTTGCTCCTCTCGTAGGCTTGACTGGCAAGAAGGTCCTTCTCCAGGCCCTGCTCCCACAGGATCCAGAGTTTTTAGGGGTTAACACGATGAGCCCTTCATTTTCCAGAATGAAGCCCTAGCCCTGTTTCTCCCCGCAGCCAGAATCACTTTCTGGGGCTGTGGAAGTGGAGAGTTACCTTCAGGGTTCCTTCACAGTGGGTGTGGGCTTTTTCTTTTCTTTTTTTTTCAAAGCAGCAGCAGCCCCAGCAATATTTGTTCTCACAAACCTATTTTTTTTTCCTCCCAGATTCTCCAGAAAATCTAGATGAGCAGATTAAGAAGGTATCCCAGCAGGTCCTAGAGAAGCAGGCCTACATTTGTGCCCACCCTCTGGACAGGACATCCTGAAGCAAACCAACAGTGTTCCCTGCTGTCCCCAAGCCATGGCCAATCGATGGACAACTTTCTCCAGCAGATGGAGCACTGGGGCTTTTTCTTCCCCATGTATACCAGAGGGGCCTTCTGACCTGAGGGTACCTTTTTAGGCTTTGCCCTGGGGGCACTGCTGCTTGACCTGGTCCCAGGTTCTGAAGAGACAGAGCGAAAGAGAGAACGCAGTTGGTGACACGTGGGATTTGAGGGGCTTCCGCTAGTTTCGGAGACATCACAGTGGCGACGGGCTTGTGGCACTGGCTCTGTGGGAGGAGTTTGGCAGGGACCTGTTTGAGGCATGGAGAGCCGCTTCTGCTAGGCCGCACGTTCTTGTAGACTGCATTCTCCAAGAAACAGCCTACAAACTGTAGGTGGAACAGATGCACTTAATAACAAAAGATATAAAATGCATGATTTGTGTTTACCCTTCTAGCCTTTGTGCTGTACTGATCCTGTTTTTCCTCAGAACCCTGAGGCCCTCCCTCTAGTGATAGCCTCCAGTGCGTTCCGTCCTCACCCCGCAGGAAGAGGGTCCTGAATGCTGAGGACCAGGTGCCCAGGCCAGGCCACAGTGTCCTGGGGATTACTGAGCCCGTCTCTGGTCTTTCTTAGGTGATGGGTACAAATTACATGGTCTGGTACATGACAGCATACGGTCTTTCCTGCCTGGGGCCTTTCTCTGCACAGTCTATACAGAGCTTGGCCTTCATTCCTGAAAGGGGGGACAACACAGAATCTTGAGGTGATACTAATAGGCCTCTGCATTTTTCTGGACTTCTTCCTGCTCTTGCTTGCCAGATACAGTGGGTCCCAGTGTGCTCACACAGGCAAGCTTGGAGCTTTTGTCTGGATTCGGAGCCGTTTGGGGCTCCAGAAAACCCACCACACATGTTGTCTTGAGGTGGGAGGAGAAGGCCAGACTCTTTCCTTTCCCTTCAAGTACAGTCTGTCTGGTGCGCAGACACCTTGGCTGGCCTCGGCACTTTGCCAGGGACTGGATAACTGATCTTCAAAAGGTAAAAGTTGACAAATCTTATGACATCAGAGCTAACCTTCTTAAGTATTTTGTTGGCAAGAAGAGTACGAATCTGGGACGGTACAGGGACCGGAGGCTGCACAGAGTGCCTTTGCCAAGGAAACTTGGGAAGCAGCTGTCTAGCCCCCACGTCCTGGGAAAGGGGACTTCGCCGTAGGCCCTGTGGCATGGGCACCCCTGTCAGCAGCTGGTTTTCTCTTCATCTAGCCGAGTTTCAAAGGCTGAGACCCCTGGTTCACATCTTGTTTCCCAGCTGCCATTTTCGAGTTTTCTTTAAGCATGGTGGGGAGGAGAGGCCCCAGCTGCCAGATGTACCCAGGGAGCGCCGGCTGGGAAGGCCTGCAGGGAGCCCAACGGCAGCACTCGGGCCAAGGAGGCAAGCCTGGCATTACTAGGCCGGGCCACCCCAACAGGTAACAGGAGAGCTTCAGGCAGCCCCAGAGCCCAGAGCCTGTACTGAAGGGAGGCAGCATGGGCCAGCAGATGGAGCAGGGGGGACAAATTTCAGCAGCTTGTCGGCATTTCCTCCTGCTTCATGGAGCTATTATCAACCTCGGGGGTTGGGGGAGGAAGGAAATTCATTTGTTTATCTGCTCTGGCTTTCAGGGAATGGTTTCTCTGGCAAACCTTGTCACTAAATTCTTTGTCCCTGAATGCACTTTCTGGTAACCAGCAAATTTGGGTTCTCTGTCAACCTATAAATGGAGACCCATCTTTATAAACAGGAGGCTAAAGGGACCCATGCTTCTAGACTCCCTCCCTCTCTCACACACAGGGCGATGGCAACATCATGGAGCAGGAAGGGAGTCAGAAGCTCCCAGAGGTGCCCAGAGCCTCTGCCCCAGCTGCTGGCCAGGCATCTAGACGTCTTGCCTGTTGAGGCCCAGAAAGCCCTTAGACCGATTTCTTAGCTATAAAACATGTAAGTGGGGAAGCCAGGCCCAGAGGGGCCCCCTGGCTGGCTCAGTTGGGTAAGTGGCTGGGCTCTTGTTTATGGCTCAGGTCCCAGGTTTGGGCCCTGTGTCAGACTCCGCACTCAGAGGCTGGAGGATTTTCTCTCTCCCGCTCTGCCCTGCCCCCGCTTGCACGTGCACTCTTCTCAGAGCATCTGCTGTGGTGCCAGAGACCAGGAGCAGTGAAGGGACTCACCCGTCACACAGCAAGTTAGTACTGCGGCTCCAGCTAGAATCCAGGGCTCTGAGTCCCAGCCCAGCACATTAATGCCTGCCCCATTCTGACTCAACTTCCTAGCTTTAGCGAAAACAAAAAGGCCAGGACACCAAGCCGCAGAGACCCTGACTGCCCTCGTCCGGATGCTCCGCCTTGCAGGGGCCTCTGTTACCTGTCGCAGGCCTCGGCGCTGGAGGAGGGGGCAGCTCCAGGAAAAGTGGGGGCTGCCTATACAAGTCGAAGTCCTGGTGGCGCCGGTCCCAGCCCCACCGCTCTCGATCCAGCATGGCAGCAAACCCGGCATTTTCCCTCCACTCCTACACAGAGAACACCACAGTAAGTAAGGAGGGAGGTCCCCGTGGACACTCCACCTGAGCCCCCACTCTGCCCCGTGGACCTCTTTTAGCTCTGGGACGGTGCCGACGGGAGGCAGCCTCAGGTGACAGTCGCTTTCCGGGCTTCTGTGAAGACCTGTCAGTTGGAATCCATTGGCTGTGAGCCAGGCCTGGCGGGATCTCTTCTTGGCTTTCTTCTCCTCCTCCTCAGAGTCCTGAGGCTCCACCATGGCCGAGAGGTACTTCTGGGAGTACGTGAATCTCTTCCTTGGCTCCTGCAAACGAGGGGCAGACATGAAGAGGGAAGGGCTGGTAGCAGCCACCGCTGGGGTGGACTGGCCCTCCAGTCTCCAAGCAAACACTGGAAACGGTGGCACATGGGAGTGGAATGACAGTTCCTGACCGCATAACTAGACCGTTCAGAATAACTGAACTGGGGGTTATGTTCGTGTTCTCTTCAACAGAGGAGCCCTTCTCCAGAGCTAATGCGTTAGAAGCCTAAGCTGAGGTATTTCCTTCGGGGTGACAGCAACGAGCTGCTTTCTAGAGGTAGGGGCCTTGCAGGTGTTTGCAGCTGGGTACACGGGAGCCTATGCTGAGCATCTCTCAGCTCTCCCTCGTGTGTGGGGGATTCCCACAGGGTATGGGAACGGAACACCTCTCCCCCCAGCACCTGGTCTCCTTCCTCTTGCTGCTTGGCTTTCTGGTGCACACCAGAGCGCCCCTGCTGCCTCCTATGTTCAGATGAGGAGCGAGCTCCCTGGATTAGCCAGTTACTGTTCTGTCTGGAGTATAAGCACGGACTGTCTGCCTCCCTACCTGGGCCTCGCACTCACCTTGGCCATCTCTCGATACAGCTCCTTCTTAGCAAGCTCTGTGGAATTCAGGGTCTGGATACTGTAGTTATAAACCGCGTCTTTGGCCGGGGCTGAAATTCGGATCACCTTCACCACAGACTTGGAAGGCTTCTTGCCAAGCTGGTAGGCTCCAGTAATATTTTTCTGAGGAAAGAGACACCAGTCATTACACACAGACCCCTCAACGCCAGCTGCCGGCTTACGGTGAGCAAGGTGATCTGTGGGGCACGGCCGCAGTGTGCAGGGATCACGTCTTGAGCTCCAGCTGCTGTGCCATCACAGAACCTACCAAAAGGTTCCCATTGCTGGCCCTGTCCAACGCGGCGGTCAGGGCCAGAAATGGGATTTGCCTAAGGCCAAAGTAACTAGAATTCACAACACCTGGCCACAGATAGAATTTGGGGCTTCGATGGTCAGAAGTGGGAGACACTTCATGCTTCTGTGGATATACAGGGGAGATGGTGACCTCAAGCAGTAAGAACTACCCTCACTGCCCACAGTCAGCTTTTAGTGCTGACTACACAGGAAGTATCACCACCTCTCCAGAGCCCCCAAGACGGTCTGTCAGCTTCCTTTGTGAATGAAAGCTGCAGTGAAGGGAGAGAACGGAAGGTGGCTGGGACCCCGAAGAGAAGGAGTTGCATTCTTAAGCACTGTGCAGTGTTGTTTGCCCGCCACTTGCCTATTAACCTTCAGCAAAATCACCATCTTTTGCTTTGGGAAAAAAAATTTTTTTTTAACCGAAGATGGTAACCTTGACTCACATTAACCACGTCTTTAGGCCAAACCCAAGTGTCTTGACTTTGTAATCTTTGAGGAATTTCTGTAAGAGAATGCAAAATAATCAAGGAAAAGATTCAAAAATCTGTGATTCACACACAGGAGAGAAAAGTCAAGGCAACAAGTCAAGGCAGTTTGAGAGCAACAGGGTCTGGAGGCAGAGGCAGGCCACAGGTCCTTGGATGAGGGACAGGACTCCTGCCGTGGAGCCCCTTCAAGAGGACTATGCCAGAGGGGCCATCTATGCTGGGACCTTGTAATGCCACACAGAGCTTCAGTCAGAGTAGTGAGTATTCTGTCCAATTTTTCTGGTTGTTCACAATTCGGGGTGGGGGGGGTCTGAATGAGCCAGTCTCCTTTCATAATTAGTGCAAGTCCCCTGCTCCTTCCAAACCTTAGAGCTAGAGCATTACAACCGAGACAGATTTCTCCTTTCATAGTACTTACTCCTTAGAGTTTAAAATGGACATTCTGACCAAAAGAGACCACGTGGTGAGGTGAGAACAGTGGTCCACGGTTGTTCCGGACACCCAGGATTCCCGGCCCTGGGACTGAAGGCTGCAGGGAAATTTGGACTCGCAGCCAAAGGAACTAGATGCCTGAGAAGTAGAACCAGCATAAAAGACCACAGACACAAACTGAACGGAAGCCAAGCTGTTGGAAGAGATGGGATAAAAATTCAAGGCAAATGTAATAATCAGTCTTAAAAGCAGCAGACTAAAGAAACAAACAGTGCATGTAAAACACCAAAGTTGAAATAAAGGACACAAGCGAACAAGACACCCTGCAGAAGTGGGGCAGCTGTAGAAGGAATGAGTGAACTGGAGCTTGAGATAAAATTAGAAAGCCTGAGTTCAGAGACTGGGAACCGAAGTGGAAACAATCCAAATAACAGAAGTTGCGAAAGGAAAGGGAAAGCAGTAGGAAATTTTAAGAAAGAAGGAGCCTCAGAAAAGAGAACAAAAATTCCAAGCCTGCGCACACTGTTAGTGACAGGTAAGACCACAAAGGTAAAGACAAACTCTGAAAACTGCCAGAGAAAGAGCAGGCCACCTGTGCAGGTAAAAGTACCAGACTGGCCTCCAATTCCACAGCAGCAGAACTGTGAACAAGCACTTGAACCTAAGACTGTACACCCAGACGAGACGGCCCTTCCATTGACAGCAGTCAGGTGTACAAGGCTTGGGAGGTTTACACAGCTTTCCAAGGAAAGCACAGAGACTTTCCTTGGAAAATACACTTGGGAAAAAGTCCAAAGGGATGAGGAAAACCCAGGAGTATTTGGACAAAGGTAGCAAGTGATGGTGTCCGGTATCCTAGTGGTTTTCTTGTCTTAAAGGGACATGGAAAGTATAATGATCTAGAACTGAAATTGGAGACTGAATATATAAAAAGGACAGTAGGGTGTGAGTAGGAAAAGATAAAAAGTATAAGTGTGCTATTGGTCTTACAAAGGATATTTAATATAAAAATTCTCAGAATTCAGTAGGAATATATAAAAATGAATATGGTTTTTAGGACAACCACTTTAGAAACAAGATAAACTTTTAAATCAGAAAAAAAAAAAAAAAAAAAAAAAAAAACAACCCTACCCTGTCAAAAGAAACAGGAGAAATTTAAAAGAAAGTGAGGTGGTCCCTCAGAAGCCCAACCTAACAATATTCTCAGTAAACGGGTTGTTTGCCAATTAACAAACCTCCGATTTTTTTTTTTTTTTTTTCAGCTAAGAATATGTTGTCTACAAAAACTGCTTTAGGGGCGCCTAACTGGCTCAGTCGGTAGAACATGCGACCCTTGATCTCAGGGTCATGAGTTCAAGCCCCATAGTGAGTGTAGAGAGGACTTAGAAATCTTTTAAAAACAGCTTTAGACAAAAAGATAACAGGGTTGGAATTAAAGGGAGGAAGAATATAAAGTAGGCAAAAAGGAATCACAAAGCCAAGACACAAACGTGGTATTCTTATATCAAAGCACATAGTTCAAGATAAAAATCTATCAAGAGGCACAAACAGACATTGTATGTTGAGAAAGAGAGCAAGAAGGGGTCACTGTCAATGAACATCTATGCACCTAACAATGTGGTCTCAAAATATATTAAGCAACAGCTGACAGCATTGCAGAGAGAAATGGACATCTGCTTGACATCACAGGAGAGCAAGCACTCGGGATTTGAGGGGCCAAGAATCTGGAGAGAAGAACCGAATCCTTTTTTCCTCCAGTACAGTTTGTTCTCAAGGTATTTGCTGATTCCTAAATTGCCAATGAATGAAACAAATGAGGCAGATAAAAAGAACCCAAGCAGGAAAAGCAGCTAAGAGGTTCAGATGTTAACCAGATAATATGGGAACATGTCACCATACTAGGGAAACAGAAATTGGATTTCACAGTGTGCCAAGGAGGAAGGCCCATGGTTACACCCTAAGCTTACAGTTCAGAATTCAAGAAAATCTATGCTTTAGAAATGTGGGCAAAGAAGGGATGAACCTGTTTAAGAGAGTTTGTCCTTTGTCTTGCCAGAAGATAATTAAATCCTCTCTGGTGGAAGATTTCAGGAGCCTCCACGATTTTTCCTGTGCAGTGTTCAGCATTTAGGAAATAACCCGAGACAATCTACTGATTCAATACAGTCCCTATCCAAATTCCAACGGCATTTTTCACAGAAATAGAACAATTGTAAAATTTTTATAGAACCACAAAAGACCTGGAATAGCCAAAGCAGTCTTCGGAAAGAACAAAACTGGAGGCATCATTTCCTGATTCAGCTATATTGCAAAGCTATAATAATCAGAACAGTGCAGTACTGGCATAAAAACAGACACATAGGTCAATGGAAGGAACAGAGAGCCCAGTAAAACCACATATATACGGTGTATAACAAAGGAACCAATAATATACAATGGAGGGAAAGGACAGTCTTTTCAATAAATGGTGCTGGGAAAATAGGTCACATACCAAAAAAATGCAGTTGGACCACTATTGTATGCCATACACAAACATTTTAACTCAAAATGTATTAAAGACTTGAACTCAAGACTTGAAACCACAAAGTTTCTAGAAGAAAACAGTAGGTAGTTTGCTCCTTGACATCAGTCTCAGCAGTGATTTTTTTTTTTTCTGGATTTGACAACAAAAGCAAAAATAAAGAAGTGGGACTACATCAAACTAAAAACTTCTATCCAGCAAAGGAACCGATTAGCCAAATGAAAGGCCAACTTACCGAATGGGAGACGGCATTTACAAGTGGTATAACCGATAAGGAGCTTGTACCAAAATAAAGAACTAGGACTCAACAGCAAAAACCAAAAAACAACAAAACACACCTGATTAAAAAATGGGCAGAGGAATGTGAATAGGCATTTTTCCAGAGAAGAGCTACAAATGGCCAACAGGTAAGTGAAAAAGTGCTTAATATCATTAATCATCATGGAAATGGAAATCAAAACCACAAAGAGATTTCACCTCACACTTGTTAGAACAACTATTATTAAAAAGACAAGAAATAACAGGTGTGGACAAGGAGAAAATGGAACACGTGTGCACTCTTGGTAGGAATGTGAATTGCTGCAGCCACTATGGAAATAGTAAGGGTCCTCAAAAATATAAAAATAGAAATACCATGTGATTGAGCAATTCCACTTCTGGGTGTTTATCTGCAGGAAATAAAAACACTAACTCAAAAAGGTACATGCACCCCCATGTTCATTGCAGCATTATTTACGACAGGCAAGACATGGAAGAAACCTAAGTGTCTGTCAATGGATGAATGGACAAATAAGATGGGGGGGTGCGTGCATGCATGTGTGCACACGTGTGTGTACATAGTGCAAGGAAATCTTGCCTTCTGTGACAATATGGATGGGCTTTGAGGGCATAATGCTAAATGAAATAAGACAGAGAAATACAAATATTGAGTGACCTCACTTATTTGTGGAATCTAAAAAATACGAACTCCTAGATACACAACAGATAGGTGGTTGCTAGAGGTAGGGGGGGTGAAATGGATAAATGTAGTCAAAGGTACAAACTCCAGTTATACAATAAGTAAATCACAGGATGTCATATATAGCATGGTAACTATAGTTAACGGGGCTGTATTGTATATTTGAAAGTTACTAAGAAAGTAGATCTCAAGATAAAGTTAATTGGGAAGAAGCATGGTACTTTCTAGGTTGATGGAATCATCTACACCCTGATCTGTGTAATGGTTTCATAGGTATGTACATAGATAAAAATGAAGGAGGCTGTATACCTGAGATTCATACGGCTTACTGTATTTAACACATACATCTAAAAAGTAATACCAGAGACAAAAGGACCTATCATATTTATAAAAGAAATCAACAGGCTAAGGCAGTCTGAAATTT